TGGTATCCTATCTTGTTGAATCCTAAACCAGCTCTCCCCGTAAGATAAGAAATCATGTATTGGATAGGATGAAATGAGATAATAGGATAAACTAATAATATCCAATTGACCCACCAAACAAGAGATAAAAGTATAATATAATAAGTTATCCTATCTTATCTTCTTTATCAGGTAATTTAAACATATAAAAACCCTCTTACCTTGCTTAAAATTGTGCTCTCTATATTTATCTTACAATGGTTGCTTGTGCATTTACTACTATCTCCTTCTTTCTTTCGAACTAAAAAAGTGCTGATAAATGTTTTTGATATAAGAATTACATATTTTTAAAGTGTCATGTGGATTTCTGTTTACTGTATTTATATTTTGACATATTAGTCTTAATAACGACAATATTCACATTTTTCATTTTTATTATATCAGCATTACTTTTTAAAAAATATACAAAATTAGACAAATATGTAGGTTTTGGAATTATCATTAGAAGTTGAAATATCATAATATTAAATAGGTGAAACTCGCTCAATATTTACAACTATATATGGAAATAAACACACACATATATAGAGGTCATATTAAATTTATTAATTAAAAAATCCATTACGGATCTTCTCCGTTGAAATTGACTTTGCAAATACTACAAAAAAAAAAGTATGCTATACCCGGACAATGACCTGTTGTCGTTCGAAATTGCCACATCGAATGTCTACTGTACCTTTTGTTTTTTTTATAAAAGAATGGAATGCTCAAAAATTTCTTTCCACCCGCATCGAATTTCTTTTGTGTTTTAAAGAAAAGGAATACTTAAGAATTTAAGTAAATAGCTTTTTTTAGTTCCTAATAAAAAATACGGTCTCTACTTTAATCCCTTATAAAAATAAATTAGTCAGTTAGTTCCTAACAAATTCAAAGTGAACCCATTTAGTTAAAATCGTGATTCTCACAAATTCAAAAAGACCCATATTAATTCCTTAAAAGGACTAAAATGGATCCACTTTGAATTTGTTAGGAACTAACTGACTAATTTATTTTTGTCAGGAACTAAAGTGAGGATCGTATTTTTTTTTGTTAGAAACCAAAAATGAAATTTACTCTAAAAATTTCTTCGTATCTTCCTATTTTGTCCGAGCACCAACCAATTAAATCATTTTTTCTGAACGCCCAGATGGGAAACAACAAAGTACTAGGATATTACATAACTTGGGAGCTACAAATGACATTATTCAATTTTGTTGTCTTTTCATGTTTTCTTAACGTAATTTGGAGATTTGCCAAGATATGCGTTTTGTTATAAAACATTGAACCTGGCAAATAAATGCCATGACCCTTAAATCTTAACAAGTGGGGTTCTATTCTCAAATTATGCAAATGGGAAACTTAGGGGGGGATGTACCCTGCTTAGCAAAACATGCAAAGTGGACCCATAAATCATAATCTGCACATATTGGCACTTAAACTCTATTCTCCTGCAGGCACCCAGTTTTGCAATCTTTGTAAGATTTTTATAGAAGATCAAGAATAAGGATATTAAGAAAAAATTTAATCTTAATGGTCACTTAAGTGCCATACGTCGTCGTTCTATGTTTGTAATAATCATAAAATAAAAATTGATTATGCTAAAATCTGGTTGGGTAAGATGCTCAAAATATGGGCACCAGAGGGATTAGGAGGGTGCTTTTGGCAGTTTCTTTTGGGAATTATAAAGAAAGGTAGAGATGGGGCATCCACTCACATGAGCTATTGTCAGGTTTGGAGAGCGTAAAACGGTTCCTTGCAGAGCTTCGTTTTTAAGATTTTTGTTGTTGTTAACTTGTTATTACCAATATTGTAATTTTTTTTTTTTTTTTTTTTGAAAAAGAAACAAGAGCGCTTAACTAAAAGTATCTTTTACTAGTTGGCCAGCCTAGCCTAAGTGGCAAAGCAAAGACCCTATGCTACTTGGTTCCCTTTCCTACTCTTAGCGTGACGGCAACTTCCACTCCTTCGAACTTTAATTTCGTACGCGAAAAAAAAAAACTAAAAGAATGCCTGATGTACCAACAAAACTTTGGTACCACATAAGTACATAAGTGGGTGTGGATATTCCCTTTTTCACATTTATAAAAAAAAAATGTGGTGGGATTTTTTTTTTAAGAAGTGATAACTTTTTTTTTTCAAATGTGAAAGAAAAAGAATATTCACATGAGTACTCCCATAGTATCAAAGTATTTTTCCTATCGTATCCAAAAAAAAAAAAGTATTTTTCCTATTGTACCAGCTGTACAGGCGTCTCACCAAATTGCTATTTGTAGTTTTTTTTTTTTAGCTATTTGTAGTATTTTACTGTTAATTAATGACTGCGCGAGAAAAGAAATTTACTAATGGTCTTTTAACAAAGCACATGAAATAAGGCAAAGGGAAGACGTAATTAACTAAATCAAGAAATTTCATATAAAGATCACATGAAGTAAGGGAAAGGAAGATCTACTTATCTAATTCAAGAAATCTGGTATATACAAAGACGTACCAAGAAACTGAAAATGCGTAAGTCTTTATTTTTCAACCTCATTAGGCTTACACCCCTTAATTATTTATGGAATGAATTATTTTATCTATATTTTTTTTTTACATATATTATCTACTAATTTTTAATATTATTGGATTATAATCTCAAGAGAAGAGATAAAAAACAAGATAATGATCCAGTGAAATTGGAGATGAATAAGTAAGGTAAGAAAAAAATAAATAAATAGAATATTGTATCCCATTTTTATTAGCAAGAAAAATAATGGTAATAACAAGAAGAATTTGTCAAATATCTATGTTGGATAGCTGTCCTTTTCTGATAATGGCATCTGTAATGCTTTTCTTGCATACTCAACTTCCAATAAATTATCATCTTCAAATTTAAACTTTTTCACATTCGAAATCAAATTTTGTATCTGTCTAATGTTATTGACCTCCTCGAAACCTTTTGTATTTTTTTAATTTTACTGTGTCCTATATCTTAAGACTTTTTTCTGATCATTTTCCTCAATTCGATATTCTTCCAATTTGATGTTTGAAAGGGTTCCTTTTCAGTTTAAGGGGATTGTTTTTGTTATGTAACCCTTTCAGAATTAACTTAGTGATCACGTCAAGAGTCTTTGCATAATCACTGGAAAAATTGAAAGGTACACACTTTTCAATCACTTGAGATAAATCGAAAAGTTTATTTTATATCAACACCAGTTCAAGCTGTCCGTCCACTCATGTTATTGACTTCAACTTGATCGAGCAGTTTCAGGCTTTAAGAACAGATCTTTGAGTTAATTTGTGTCTGTTACATTTACCAACCTACGTGGTTAGCCTATCTTTTTTAGGGGGGGCATGAGCCTATCTATTTGTTAGGCATGTGATCGACATATATGATATTGTTTTCTCTATTTCCCCACTTTTGTCGTACTTTTATTTCATTCTGCTTCATGACTCGCTTTTCCAATTTCCTGTCAATTGCAACTGCTATCTCAAAAAGTAAGCTAACATCAAAATTAAGCCCGGCTTCCAAACTCGTACCAAGTATGCATGGATAGAAAGGGGTTTGATTTTTTTATGTTAAATGAGAATTCAATTCTGATGTTGTAGAGATAAAAAACATGTGAGACCCAAGTGTTATAAAAAATTATATGTAAAACCTATTTCAGCACGGAAATCGAAAGGTGTGTAGAAAAATTTAAATTCTCATGTTAAATGAGAATTATAAAACCCATATACAAATACACATTTCGATTCGTAAGAAGTGTTTTCGAATGCTATAAATTATTGTCTTGAGTGCCCAAACTCGCGTTTCGTTGTTCATTTGTCAGCATAAAACAAAAAATCGTATTACCACATTTGGTGAAACAAAAAAAATAAAAAAATAAGCAGTTATCTATATAAAAAGGAAAAACACAATCATCTTAGTAGAATGTGATCACTTTACTATGTTGTTAAAATGCACATTAAGCCGTTCATTTTGCCAGTTTTTCCTCTTCCTGTAAATGCAAGTTGTTCAACTTTGAAAATGATCATCACTTTTATTTTTTCCATAATTTAGTTGGGTCATTTTTTCCCCCAATATTAATAGGTGATTTAAAAAAAATAGAGATTTTTTCAAATGATTCATCTATTAATCTTGTAAAGAACCTTGGGATAAACCATCTCAAAAGCTAACTCAAAGGGTGGGAGTGTCCAAGGCTTTATAAACTCCACATTAGTTGCACATATAACAAATGTGAGACTATATATCTCAACAAATGTTGTAAAGAATCAATTCAACCCAAAAGTTTACATTATTGGGTGAGATTACATAATTTTATATATCTCTAACATGCATTGGGCTTGAAAGGTGTATGATACATAGGCACAACCTACCTGTGCTAAGAAATTTTACAAAAAAAAATAGGGGTGACAAGAATCAAACCTATAAAAAACTAATTCAACTCAAAAACTTAACATATTAGATAAGGCTACATTAATAATTTTATATATATTTAACAAATAGGATATTACTCTTATGTTACATTAGAGTACTTCTCTCATGCTAATGCTATAGAGAGAATCCAAGTGATACCTTCCATTAAAAAAGAGAGATGATTTTTTAAATGAGAGAACATGAGATAACTATTTCATGTAAAATGAGAATAGTATTTCCCTTTAACAAATGTGATCAAACATGGACAACAAAATTCTTTAATCATTTATTAAACTGAAATAATATAACATCAATTAATCCAAATATTTGATGATAAAAAAATTATTTTATTATGGATGCATTTAATGATGGGTATATACTATATAGTCATCAAATCACTGCCGTTGAATATGGTGCGAAAAGACGAAAACAGTTAGGCCTAGGTCGTAATTACGAGGAAGACCAAGGGCACGTTCTGGACCTTGCCATTATAAAACCGTTAGGCCTCCAACATTTGCAATTCCCCCGATTGTTCTCATTTTCCCTTCTAAAACACAACAACAACAACAGAAACAGAGTGTGGGGGAAGATGTCAGTGTCAGGGGGACTGGGAAAATGCAGCAAAATCCGCCACATCGTGAGGCTAAGGCAAATGCTGCGGCGGTGGCGGAACAAGGCCCGCATGTCAGCACATCGAACACCGTCAGATGTACCTGCGGGACACGTGGCGATCTGCGTGGGCACCAACTACAGGAGATTTGTGGTGCGCGCGACGCACCTGAACCACCCCGTCTTCAAGAAGCTACTGGTTCAGGCGGAGGAAGAGTACGGATTCTGTAACAATGGTCCCCTGGTCATTCCCTGCGACGAAGTCCTATTCGAAGAGGTCCTCCGGTTTATTTCACGGTCCGAGTCTCTCCACTCGACCCGGTTCATAAACATTGAGGACTTTCACAGGTACTGCCACGCTGGCATCAGGAACAATATGGACTTCTGGCCCGAATCTCGACCGCTACTTCATGGCTTAACTGACAAAGCCGTTTGGTAGCTGTCGGACCAGACCACAACATGGTTTGCAGTGAACATAACAATTGCTGCAATGCTTCGGAGACGGCAAAAAGGAGGGAGAGAGTGTTCCACCGAGTCGTCCCGGGTTCGAATCCGAGTGGAGGCGGTCTAGTCTAGTGATGATGATGGTTTTCGAGATGTGTATTAGGCAACTATTTTTGTAAATTGTCGTGTATTATTTTTTATTGATGATGCTAGTTGTTGAATAATAATATAAATTGAAAAGGAATTGTAGAGAAATTTGAAACTCCACCACACTTGTCAATTATTGTGGATTCTCTGTGCGTTTGTTTGCGGGGACGATGCAACCATGGTCCCCGTTGGAGTTATTATGGCATCAACCGACCCACATGAGTGAAACCAAAGCTAAGTTTCTTCTCCCATTTGCTCTGATTCGGTGTTTCCCTTGATTCCAGTTTGTCCCAAGTCGCAACTTAAACAATCATGTATTTTGATGTTTTTCAGGCAATTGAACTCACGAATTAATTATTATTATTTTTCGTCTGAAATAAATTTTTGTTTGAGATTTTATAGAAAGATTAAAAAAAAAAATTAAATATCGAAGATGATAATCGACCAACCTGACTGATGACTGATGACTTAACATGATATTAGGGTTGCTTACCTCTGTTCTGTGTCCCACTTCACAACCCTTAGCTGGAATATTTTTTTATGAATTTGTATTTCTATTTAGGATGGACATGTTCTTTTATGAGTTTAATATTGTTTATATTGTAGGAGATACATACATAAAAATATGAGAATTTTATATTGTTGTTTCTCTTTCTTATTTTCATATAAATAGAAGATTAAAAATATCATACCCTTCTTTTATTCATGAAAATGGAAAGATTTAAATTTATTTGTTATTAGTTTATAGAAAAATGTTATATTTAACATAAATTAAATTTATCATTTCTTACCAACAAATTTTAATCATTAAATTTTGTTAATTTAATAATTATAATTTATTAGACAATACTTATTAATTAATTACTAATTTTTAATAATCATAATTATCACATTAAATTAACAGAAATCAACGATTTAAATTTAATGATAAAAAATGATAAATTTAATTGACAACAAATATAACCTTGCTTCATATAATAATAATAATCAAATCACTTGATTAGGCTGTAAGACAGAATATATATATTTTTTTTTAAAAAAAAAAAACGCTAACGTCATGTCCAAACAAAAAAGAAAAGAAAAAGTGAACATGACTCTGTACAATTAAGAGCCTTGATGCCTAGACTAGACACGTCCATTAAAAGGATTGGTGTTTATTTTTAAAAAAAAATATTAAATTATGTCATTTTAAATAAAAATATATGTATAATAAAAATTATAAGTAGAGAAAGTAGGATATTTTTTAAAAAAATATTTAAATAAAAAATATTAATTTTAACTAAAATAATTATCTTTTAAAAGAATAAATATGTACTTGAGTAATGGGGGGTTTTGACAAAAAAATGTAAATTTTAAAAAAATTCACCTGTTTAGTTCGTTTACCAAACGTTTTACTAGACTAATGCAGAAAGACGCGTTTCAGGTGGTTACGCGTTTTACCAGACTAATCCTCCTGACACATGCGCGTTTCTGACAAATCTGTACACGTCTGTATCAGGTACGTACGAGTCTAAACACGTCTGTACTAGGTGCGTGTTTCTGACAAGTATGACGAGCACAATACCAAGATGTCATATTCAGGCACGCATGTCCCGTCACTGTCAGAAACGCGCACCTGGTACAGACGTGTTCAGACATATACCTGGTATAGAAGTGTTCAGATTTGTCAGAAACGCACATGTGTCAGGTGTGCGACTAAAAGCGTAATCACCTGAAACATATCTTCCTGCATTAGTTCGGTAAAATGTTTAATCAATAAACTAAACAGGTGAATTTTTTTGAAATTTGCAATTTTTTGACCAAAAACCTTGAGTAATGAGATTCAATGGGAAAACATAACATTTATCTTATTTTAGGAATATAATTTCTTATTTGGACTTTAGTGGCCGACCCAACGGATCGAGTTTGTGTGACCCGTCCATAACATGTCGTAACTAATTTGACTGTAAACATAATTTACTTGATAACTTCCCCCCAATGCAAGAATGTTTTGTGTGATGGTGTGGGTTAAAAAACTAGACAATGTTTCTGTAGAGTGAAAATGTCTCAAAAGTGAGCGAATAAAAACATATCGAATTTTAGATAATAGCCTGAGATCAAAATATATTTTATATAAATTTAACAAAGGATGAATACATGTTTGTTTAATTTAAAGACAAATCACTTTTTAAAAAAATTCTTTTTAAAAAGTGATTTATATCTTTATGTATAAAGAACAATTTAAACGTAAAAACTTAAATTATTAAGTGAAGATGCATCAAGAATTTTATATTATATCCTTTACACAAGGATTCGTTGAATTTGAATAGTGGACAATAAATTAAATTTATTTATGTTAAGAAATTTCATTTCAACTCAAAAACTTAAATTATTAAGTGAAGGCTTATAAATAATTTTATATTATATTTTTTAAGGATGAGATTATATTTACATCACTTTTGTCTTATTACATGGTTGCTTACCGTTTAATTAATTTGAAATCAACAACTCCATGAAAAAAAATAGTCTGAGTAAAAGATTAAGTGATTATATCACATAAATGTTTAACTTTTTTTGTACAAAAATAGCTGCATATAATATGTGCCCACTATTTAAATTCATAATGTAGACTTATAGAATTTTTTAACACAGCTAGGCTGAACCTCATCCACCATTTAAGTTTGATAGACTTTCTTGTGAGTAGGCATGTTAAAGTTATATAAAATCGTTAATATAACTCTAACCAACAACTTATATTTTTGAATTGAATTGATTCTTTATACAGATAATATGGACAATATCGTTTTCAACCCATTTTCGAGCTGGAAATGATGGAACAAAGGCGCTTTTTGCTGCAGTTTTAACGAGGGAATATCTTGAAGAGTCACCACTCCACTCATCAACACATTTCTTTTAAATTTGGCGAAAGTTCACCTTGGTTGTGCTTTCTTCTCGCCATTAACTTGAATAGGAGCTTTCATTTACCAAATGCAGAGTTTGATTACCAGACCTCACACGTGACACAAACAGGAGAGAAAAAATGCATTGTATCTTGTAAGATAGTGTCCGGACAAAGTCATGTGCACCATCTCAAAATTTCATGATTTCTAGGAGGAAAACATAGCTTACATTGTATACGTACTTAGGCTAATTTTAAGTTATATTAGGTCTTTGCAATTTATTTTATTTTTTTATATCAAAAATTAAAAACATTTTTTTTAAATAACTACTTTATCAACTCTCACTTGCCTACTTAAAATTGCTCAAAATTTTTTCCATTGATCTTTGGAATTTGATAATCACTTTTTTTTAATACATTGATAATCACTTCAAGCACTAATTAATTCAAGTTGAGAAGAGTAGACTTATTTGGGGAGGCAAAGTTCTCTCAAAGACTTTTTAAAAAAAATAAAAAAATTATAAGATACCAACTTGAAACCTTACTTAAGGAGTACCAACATTCTTCAGACACATGTTGGTTTCTAACAATTTGCAATTTTTAGGATAGCTTGAAGTCTTTAAATTTTGTGTGTAATGTTAAAATTAAAAAAAAAAAATCCTTGCCCTTTTCAAGTGGTCGATGGAGTTTTGAACTTAAGAGTATTTTTTTTTATGGTTTGTCAAATACCGATTATCATTCTTTCAATTATTTATTATTATTTATTTTGTCCAAAAACACTGACATTGTTTTCTTTTGGGTCGTGGACATTATAACTCTGATGCAAGAATGTTCTCGTCAAGTGTTTGGGTAGGTCCGACATAATATTATTCTATATTTTAAAAAAAACCCAACACAAATGTTTCCAAAAAAAAAAGCCCACACTATGGAGCACTAATGGTGAGGCCCAGAGTTTAGTTACATACGAAGAAAGCCTAAAGTGAGCAATGGCGTTTTCTTCTTTAGATGCATTTCTTGTAGGAGGTGTTGTTATTGAAGACAGTGGGTGATATTAAATCACTAAGAGGCTTGAACCCATGAATAAATCAGAAGGGAGTAGATGATCAGAATTATCACTGTGCAATTAAAAATATTAAAAACAGACTTATTAGATATGTATGAAGCAGACAGAATCAGAAGAATGAAAAATGCAGTATCAGAGGAATTAAATCCGAGCCCACAGAACGTGTCTCCTTAAGACAATTTGCCCCCTCATTGATGCCAAAGGTTGATGGACACTTGTCTCCCAGGATAGAACGGATTTCGTCTGAAGAGTGGCGGCACTACCAGTTAACAGCCCAAACGAACACAACAAAATGCCAGAGGAAATCACACCGGAGTATGAACAAGAATATGCAAACCGGAAGGAGAAAAACTCCGGCAGAGTTTCAGTGCAGGAAAAATTGGATCCATTTTCTGAAGGTGTCAGTGTCTATTTATAGACAACGTAAAGTCACGTTCCAAAAGGCACCTATTCGACGACGAAACAACACATCTGTTGGACACGAAAAGACACATTCGTTCGACACGAAAAGACACATTCGCTCAACACGAAAAGACACCCATTCAAGGATGAAACAACATGTCCGTTAGGATGAAACAACATGTCCGTTAGGATGAAACAACACATCCTTTAGGATGAAAAGATACATCTGTTTGTCGACGAAAAGGCACACATTTTCACTACCAAACTTCTTATTCATAACCAATAGATTGTCTATACAATATTTATATATATATATATATATATATATATATATATATATATATATATATAAATTCCAACAATCCCCCACATGGATAAGAAGTCAAATCATCATGACAAAAAATGCACAAGAGTATAAATGCAAAGTGTAATTTCCTCAACGAGAAACAACTGCATCGAGACAGGTGGAGTTACCTTTGAACCTTCTCTAGTGAAAACCTATCGG